CACTGTCTAGGAAACTCACTGATCAGTTCTTACCAAGATGGTCGGCTTGCAATCCAGCAAGCTTTCTTAGCATTGAGGGTGGTGAGTCAGTTAGCACTGAACACACCACCTCCACATTTAAACTAAAAACCAGACAGTTATGGCCATTCTGTACATGGTGGAAAATGGCTGTTCAGCTGTTGGGGCACCCTTCAGGAGTACCCTCAACCAGAGCTGGCAATCTAAGATGCAGTGCCCTCCTGTCTGACTACCATGCTGTTTAGACTCACGCGTGAGGTGTGGTTTATTGGTTGGTACATGTGAAAATCAACAGCTTCAACAGAACAATAGGGAAGACTGGAGAATAAAACTAAACTGAAAAGCTATTTTCTTGTGATAGTAGGAACTTCAGATGCTGGAGAATCTGAGATAACAAGGTGCAGAGGCGGATGAACGCAGCAGGCCAAGCACCTTCAGAGGAGCAGGAAAGCTGACATTTCGGGTCTAGACCCTTCTTCAGAAAAATCCAGAATTCAGAAAAATTTGTCATTTTCTGAAGAAGGGTCTAGGCCCGAAATGTCAGCTTTCCTGCTCCTCTGATGCTGCTTGGCCTGCTGTGTTCATCCAGCAATACACCTTGTTATCTCAGCTATTTTCTTGTGCTTTGTGAACCGAGTACAGATCCACCACGTGTACTGAAACCACTGTGTGTATTGAAACAGTCTAGCTAAGAGTGAGCAGGTTGCTTTAATTTTGGTTGTGGAGCTGACTGTGTGAATCAGGATGTCTATCAGACAGAACTGGGATCAGCTTCCCTGACTCCTAGCTACCAATGTGCACCAGCATTGCTAAGTGCGTTACGGTGCACTTGAGCCAAATGGGAAATGATCTTATCAGGGTCTGTCTGCTATTCCAAATAAGGAAAACACTTGCAGACAGTCTGACTGTCACAATCCACACATCAACAGATTCTGGGATAATGCATGTAGGATTTAAATAAGTTCTATGCAGATCATCATTCACAAAGGCAAGATGATTTGCTGTTGTCTATTTACAAGCACCTACGCATTGGATTACCAGATGTTCTGGATAGTCCTGATTTTTTTTTTCTAAGTCTCCTGCAAATGTCCTCCCAAGTTGCTCAAATGTTCCAGCTTTCATTTTACCTGAAACCCCTCCCCTTTACCCTGCCCCATGTGTTAAACCTACTGTCACCAAACTCCCCAAGAAAGCCCCCAGTGTTGCCCTGCACCCTGCAAATTGTGGTGATATCCATTACAGCTGCTAAGTGACTGTGATAGTCCATCATGTGCAGTATTCCTTCTCAAAGCATCCCAAGCCAGAAAGAAGTCAGGTGCTGGGTGACAAAGTAGATTGATACTGGTGTCCACCAACCACAAGCCACATTTGAGGTAGTCAGACAGCACCTATTGGTAAACCACAGTCAGTGCTGAGGAAGATCATGGGCAAGTTCTGTTTAGCAGTGGCACATTCAACTGAACTGCTCATTGAAAGATCACAAGGTTTCTTGCTCTCATTATTCTAAACTCCAGAAAATATTGGCCTAAACCGCTCAATCTCTCTTCTAAGGCAAACCCCTCATCTCCGGAATCAATCTATTGAATATAGTTCCAGCCAAACCAATCTCTCCTCATAGGACAGTCCTGCCATCCCCAGTATCAGCCTAGTGAAACGCCACTGCACTTTCTGTGTGACAAATATAACCTTTCTTAAGAAGGGAGACTAAAACTGCAGTACTACAGGTGTGGTCACACTAAGTCCCTGTATAACTGCACTAGAGATCCCTGCTTCTGAACTTAAATCCTCTAGTGATGAAGGTTAATATGCCATTTGCCTTCCTAACTGCTTGCTGCCGCTGCATGTCTACTTTCTTGACTGGTATACAAGGACACCCAGATCTATTTGTACACCCACACTATTTAAATAATACTTTTCCTTTCTGTTTTTCACACCGAAATGTATAATTTCACATTTAGCCACATTTTACTGCACCTGCCACGTGTTTGCTCACTCACTCAACTCCTCTAAATCATCTTGTAACCTCCTTGCATTCTCCTCACAACTCACAATCCCACCCAGTTTTATGTCATCAGCAAACATGGGAATGTTGCATTTGGTTACCTTATTCGGGCTATTTGTATGTATATTGTGAAGAGCGAGGGTGTAAGCATTGATCCTTGCAGTACCCCCTACCACTCACAAAAGAATATTTCCTGTCTATCAACCAATTCTTGGTCAATGCCAAATTCCTTATGCTTTAGTTAACCTCTTATGAGGAACCATAGCAAAAGTCTTCTGAAAATCTTACCACACCCACTAGTTCTCCCATTTTTATTCTATTAGTTACATCCTCAAAAAAATGACTCCGGTAGATTTGTTAAGCATGATTTGTCTTTCATAAACACCTGCTGGCATGGTCTAATCCTGTTAATGCTTTCCAAATATTCTGTTATCATGTCTTTTGTAATGAACTCTGGTATTTGCCCACTACTACTGTTAGGCTAACTGATCTGTAATTCTGTTTTTTCCCCTCCTTCCAAAAGTCTGCCATTTGTAACTGCTGTCTCAATAATTGGGTGCCAAAACCCTGGTTCAGCCACATCTGGAGTATTGTGACCAGTTGTGGTCGCCTCATTACAGGAAAGATGTGGAAGTGTTAGAAAAGGTACAGAGGAGATTTACCAGGATGTTGCCTGGAATGGAGGGAAGGTCTTATGAGGAATGGTTGAGAGAGCTAGGGCTTTTCTCTTTAGAACGACGAAGGATGAGAGGTGACTTGATAGCGGTGAACAAAATGAACAGAGGTATAGATAGAGTGGACAGCCAGAGACTTTTTACTAGGGTGGAGGTAGCTATTATGAGGGGGCATAGTTTTAAAGTGAGTGGAGGTAGATATAGGGGAGACGTCAGAGGTAGGTTCTTTACTCAGAGAGTGGTAGGGGCATGGAATGCATTGCCGGAGAGGGTAGTAGAGTTGGCCTCATTAGGGGCCTTTAAGCGGCTATTAGATAGGCATATGGATGATAGTATAAGGTAGGGGTGGAGGTTAGATAGACGTTAGGTTTAGGGTAAAAGTTTGGCACAACATCGTGGGCCGAAGGTCCTGTACTGTGCTGTGGTGTTCTTGTTCTATGTTCTATGTTCTATGTTCTATATTAATAGTGCTGGCAATTCTGGATAAACATATTCCAGGAGACGTCACCACATGATCTCCTACCTTCAACTGCTATTGGTCACCCAAATGTTAATCATCATGAGGCCAGTCTTCCCAAACTTGTTAATATGCCCTGGTTTTAACTTTTACAAATTATATGGAAAAACAAATAATCAAACACAAAATCTTGATGGTTCAAACTTACCTTTCCTGAGTTTCACTTTCATATAACAGAATCAAAGAATTGTTACAGCACAAGAAGATTCCATTCAGCCATTGTGCCTGCAATGGCTCTTCAAAATATGCAATAGCCTGAGTAAAATCAGAAAGCTGGTACATCTGGATGCAATTTTCATGTTTTGTGCTACTGAGTTGGGCCAGAGCTGTTTGGGGCCCTTTCACCTGACTGACCATTCTTTATCTCTGGCTTTTTGATAATGACTCCAGTAGGCTTTTCAATGCATGAGGGGTCGCCACAGCTAAGCAAAATCTCACTCTCTCAATTGATATCTGCAAACAGATCTGGCCAGTGATCAGCAGCAAGCATCCACTTCATGCACCTCACCTACTCCTGTGATACTGAGGACAATTACAGTATACCCACAGTGATCAGTTAAAATAGCTTAATTCTCTGCTGCCAATCACTTCCCTGTTGTTTTGTACGTGTGTGTGTGTACATGTGAGCAGAATTGAGATAAAATTGAGCTTAGCTTTAATGCCTTCCAATCACTGTCTATACTTACCATCTCAAGCTACATAGAACCTTAGAGCACAGAAAGAGGCCATTTGGCCCATCATGCCAGTGACAACTCTATGAAAAAGCTCTCCAGTTAGTCAGTCTCCCCGCTCTTTCCCTGAAACCTTGTAAGTCGTTCCTAATCTTTATCCAATTTCCCTTTTGCAAACGTGCATTGAATCTGCTAACTCTGTCCATTCAGTCAGTGCATTCCAGATCATAACAACAGACTACATTTAAATTGCAGACAGTATCCTGGTAAAAGGACTGCTTCTGCACATGGTGCAATCCCAGAAAGACATAGCACCTTCAGGACATCAAAAACAAAACTGTGGAGAGACAGAATCCTCCCCCATGTTGGGTTGATTACTCATGCTGTATATTACTACACATTTCATACGTAGGGTTACAAAGAGGGTATGTGAAACAGAAACAGGCCATTTGGTCCAACTAGTTCATGTCAATAATTATGCTCCACTCAAGTCCTCCCATCTTTCCTCATCTATATTTATCATAATCCTATATTTCTTTTCCTTCATGTACTTGTCTAGTTTCCCCTTCAATCCATCTATACTGTTCATCTCAACCATTTCCTGTGGTAATGAGTTCTGTGATTTTAACCACTCTTTGTGTAGAGACATTTTTTCTGCATTCTCCATTAGATTTCTTAGTGACTGTTCCATATTGATGGCTTCTCCTTACAGTCTTCCCATTCCTTTCTCCTTAAATAATTCAACCTTGGTTTGGTAGGGGACATAGGGAACACAGTCACCTCTGCATCACCTTTGATGCCTCAGCGGGGGGAGTTCTGTATTGTAATAGACGTGGTGTCTTTTGGATGGGATATAAAAGCCGAGGCTCCAGCTCACTATTTTGAAGAAGAAAGTGGGAGTTCCGTCTGGTGTCAAGGCTAACATTTAAACAATATTATAAAGGAAAATAGACCAGGCATTATTACATTGCCATTTGTGGGAACATGTTTGGCTGCTGTGTTTCCCTGTGTTATGACAGTGATGACACCTTTAAAGCATTTATTTGGCTGATAAACATTATGTGATGTCTCAAACTGGTGAAATGCAACATATAAATGAAATTCTTTTTATGTTTTAGGGTTCTCCACACAACTGTCTTTCTGTCGGACAGCCAGCTCCACCTATTCCTGCAGACCCAGCTGCCTCCGGCACAGATTGAGGCTTGTGTCCAGGGCCGCACTCCATTCTCTGTCAATAAGGCTATCCTGGACAATGCCATGTGCAGAAAGAGCATTCTGCTCAGAGAAGACGCAGAGGCTGTGGGCTACGAGTGCGGAAGGTAATCAATGTCTTGTGAGTTTTGGGAGGTGGGAAAGGTGCACGTTAATCTACACTAAGCTGGCAGTAACCAAACAAATTCAGTCATCAATTGGCTAAAGTCCCAAAAGGAAAACTGGAAGAGCTCTGCTTTACAGGATGGTGAAAACAGATTCAATAGTAACTTTCAAGAATTGAATTGAATAAATACAATTTGCATTTATGTGGAAAGAGATGGGGAACAAATTTGATCACTCTTTCAAAGAGGTGATAAGGACATGATGGACCTAATGACCTCCTATGCTGTAAGACTGCTTGATCTAAGGAATGATTGTGGTTGTGTAGGGCCACAAATCCACTGGTATCACTTCTGCAGTCACCTCTTCCTGCCATTTACTTCCACTACTCCAGTTAATCCGATGGGAATTCTGATTTGTACCCCTACCCAGATCCACTTAATGGCTGGTCTGATTGTAACCTCAACTCCCGTTCACCCCAGGTTTACCAAGATCTATTCATTTGTGCCTTCAAAATACTCAAAGATTCTTCTTCCACTACCTTTTCAGGAAGTGAGCTCCAAAGACTGTCAGTCCTTTGAGAGAGAAAAAATATCTTCTCATCTGTCTTAAATGGGCAACCACCTAATTTTAAATCATGACCCCTACATGAGGAAACATGCTTTCAACATTGACCCTGTCAAGACCCCTCTATCTCTTGTAAGCTTCTGTGATCTAAGCCTATCCTATCCAAACATTCCTCATAAACAACCAACCTATTAGTCTGGTAAACCTTCTCTCAACATCTTCAAGCACACTTTATATCCTTCCTTAAATAAAGAGACCAACACTGTGCATAGTCTCACCAATGCCTGTACAACTGAAAGATAACCTCCCTACATTTGTATTCAGTTCCACTCACAATAAGTGATCACATCCTAGTAGCTTTCCACTGACTGTACTTGCATGTGAACCTTTTGTGATCCATGCACTAGGATACACAGATCCCTCTGCAACTCGGAGCTCTGCAATATGTTCCCTTTTCAGTCTTTCTGCCAAAATGGACAGTTCTACATTTTTCCAGATTATACTCCATTTTCCAGATCTTTGCTCACTCACTTTATCTATACCCTTTTGTAGCTGCTTTATGCCTTCTTCACAACTTACTTTTCAAACTCTCCTTGCGTCATCAGCATATTTATCAACCATACCTTCAGTTCCTTCATCCAGGTCATTTGTACAAGTTGTAAGAAGTCCCTGTGGCATCAGCATTCATTACATCTTGATAACCAAAATAAAATGACCATTTTTGACTACTCCTTGTTTTCTGTTCGCCAGCCAATCTTCTATCTATGCCAATATGTAAACCCCTATACCATGTGCTTTTCATTTCCATAATAACTTTTGATGTTGCTCGTTATCAAATATCTTCTGGAAATCAAACTACATCTACCAATTCTGCTTTAACCGCAGCACATTTTATTCGTTCAAAAATACCAATAAATTAGTTCAATATGATTTCCTTTTCACAAAGCTCTTCCTAATTACCTTGTAACTTTGCAACTTTTACAATATCTTTAATAATAACTTTTAATATTTTCCTTATGACTGATATTAAGCCATTTGGCCCACAATTAGTAGTTTTCTTTCTTCCTCCCTCTTTGAATAAATTAGCTGTCTTCCAATCTAATAGAACTTAACCCAGACTTCCCCCCCGATCTAGGGAATTTTGAAAAATTAAAACCAATGCATCAACTATCTCAATACTCACTTCTTTTAACACCTTAGGATAAAGTTTATCAAGAGCCAGGCCACAGCTCCAACCTGCTCGGACCACCTCCCTAATGATTGTAATTTTCTTCAGGTCTCCTACTGTCTATTTCCTGAATTACAGTTGCTTCTGAAATGTTATTTGTATTCTCTATATTGAAGAATGCAAAATATCTGTTAATTCATCTACCACCTCAATTTCCATTATTAATTCCCCACACTCGCTTCCTCTAAGTCCAATGTTCACTTTAACTCTTTTCCTTTTTAAATATCTGTAGAAACCTATTTTTATATTTCTAGCAAGCTTTCTCGAAATATAATTTTTGCCCCATTAATATTTTAGAAATTCCTTGCTTTTTTCAATATTCTAACCAATCTTCTGGCCTGTCAGCCATCTTTGCATAATTATATGTAATTATAATCTTTTTGTTTTAAGTTTGATGCTATCTTTAACTTTTTTAGTTAATCACGGAGGGTGTTTTTCCCTTGGAATTTTTCTTTCTGAATTGGAATATAAAGGTTGGGAATGGCAATATTAACCAGTGTTCCTGTTTCTTGTTGCTTACCCAAGGCTGCTCTTGGAAAAAGCATGTGTAGATGTCAGGTTCGAGTCTGGGTGGGTTAGTGTGCCTTGTTCTGTAATTCAGTCATTGTCAGCAAGCTAGGAGATTTCAGGTGTTTCTGGTGGGACTGTACTTCACCCTAGGAAGAAAGATTTGCCTTCATACAGCAGCTTTCAAAACCTCAGGACATCCCAAGCCCTTTACAATCAGGGTAGTACTTCTTTAGAATGCTGATAAATGTTGTAATGTCAGAAAAGCAGCAGCTGTCAATAATCTGCCATAAACAGCAATAACCAAATCAACTGCTTTCAAATGTTGGTTCAGGGCTAATTAGTTTCCAGGACACCAGGGAAAACTCCCCTGCTGTTCTTCAAAGTAGTGCCATGGATACTTTCCATCTGCCTGAGAGGATAGATAGGACTTCAGTTTAACATCTCACATGAAAGACAGCACCTCTGATATTGCAGCACTCCCCCGGAGCTTCACTAAACAGTCAGCCTGAAATATGTCTCAGTGTGTTACACAGCCTTCTGATTCAGAAATCCAACCTGATTGTGACACACTGAGCTGGGTTGGTATCAGCTGATGAGCCTGGATGAAGGAGATGGAAAACTGAAAAGAAAAATAAGTGTCAAGTAGAAATGTAATTATTTAGTAACAAATCAGGTGACAATGTGAATTTTGTTGTAATATGATGCCGTAAAGAGCTGACACAGCATTGTCGGTCCAAGCTTGCATCAGATTTCTGTTAGTGTCAGACCGGTAGATAAAGAAAATAACAAATTAAAGACTTGCTTATCTAAAAATATGGAGGACAATCAACAAACGTATTTTCTT